CAACTAAACCTTGACTGATTCTACTGTCTGATCCCCCTCAAGATCCAGTCACAAACACCAGTGAGAGACTGTGAAGTTAAATGCTAATAGCTGCTTCCACAGCTTGTGACCTTTGTAATATCCTTAAACTTGGCCTTTACAATCTCAGAGCAGTGATCCCCTGCTGGAAGAGGTGCGTATCTTAGCCCTGCGAAGCTCCCAGCTCCCTCCACTGCCTGTCTTCCCGCTAAGAGTGTGGGGCATGGGGCTTTCTCTTTCTTGGCTGGGGAAGGAGCCTAGGATTGCATCATCAATGGAGTGAGTAGGACCGCAGGGCCTCAGGCATTTGGCCACGATCTTTTCTTAAAGAAAGGGGACCCTACACCTCCAGAGGGCTCCATCCCTCTCCAGATGTGAGGTCAGTACCCAGGGATGGGTACCTGAAGGGCAGAGAATCAACGAGAAAGTCTAAAATTTTGGCTGGCTAATGTTCTATGTTTGCTAACCAGGCTAGGCGGGTTTATGTTGTGATTGGTTAGAAATTGACCTTCAAATACAGTGGCATCACAAAACGTACACAGCATCACCACATACTATAGCTGCACTCCCTGCAGTAACTCAGCAGTCCAGGCTGCTCTTGCTGGGGTTAGATAAGCACCAGGCACTCTTAGAAGTACCAAGTCCAGTTTATGACCCGCTACTGCTGTCACGTGGCAAAAAAAAGCCTCCCACATGCTGTTCTCGGAAAGGCCCTCTCTTCAAAAAAACTTTCTCCCATAATCCTCTAATTAGAATTTTTGGGATTATTAAGAACTATACAAAAATAAAAAAGCAAATGTGGAGGGAAAGTATCAATATTAGTCTGATAATAATAAACAGATTTTTTTTTCTTAATAGCTTGGGTGAGATAAATCGCAATTAAGTGGGCTGGAGAAAGGAAGGGTGATGCCTACTTTACAAGATATAGTGCTTGGGACACGGGCCGGCTTCTAAGAGGCTCTCAAGGGGCAAAGAGCCCTCGGGAGCTAGGAGTGGGAGGTCCGGGACCCGTGCTGCAAAAGTCGTATGCACAGGCAGGGTGTCTGCCCACTGTCTCTCAGCTACAAGCTGACTTCTTGGTACATTGCTCTGGGGAGCCAGAGCTGGGATCTGCCGTCCATATTCCTCACCTTCCACTGCCAGCTGGCTTTGTGCCACTGGGGGGCGCCAGAGAGAGCCCCGGAAGGCGGGGAGGGAGAGGCTCCCGCTTCCAGATGCCGGTCCCTGTCGGCGTCTCTCCAGCAGCAGGTGACCGCTCCTGGTCCAGCCTCCAGCTGCTCTTGGCCTTCCTGTATCAGCCACTTCTCAAGGGCGTGGTGTGCCAGCGCCAGCGGGGCTGGCCGGCAGAGTCTCTCCTGCCAGCTCCTGAGCTCTGGTTGCTCTCCTTTTCCTTTCTGTCCCCCAGGCTGTAGAATAGTAGCTGCATTTTACAGTTGCTGGTTTCTGGGTTACCTCAGCAGCTGGTTTATGCTGTTGCAGCCTCCAACAGATCTATGTAAATGTTTCCTGGTATTAAACTTGGAAAAACCTACCGTGGTTTCTGTTTTCCTGAATGGACCCTGACTGTTTATATTGCATTTATTTGTCCTTATAGGTACATGCAGTCACGCCTCGCTTAACGGACGAGGACGCTTCTGCGTTGTTAGGCGACTTTGCCGTGTGAACATCACGGACGCAGAGTCTACTCACACATCTAGGTGGTGCGCCTACATCACACCTAGGCTGAGGGCGTGCCTGTGGCAAGCCTACACGGCCTGTTACTGTGCTGACTCCTGTAGGCACTTGGGACCCAATGGTAAGTATTTGTGTATCTAAATATATCTAAACAGAAAGGCACAGTATAAAAGATAAAAAATAGCACACCTGTATAGGACACTCACCATGAATGGAGTTTGCAGGACTGGAAATTGCCCTGTGGGTCAGTGAGTAGCAAATGAATGAGAAGGCCGAGGACAGTATGACGCTCTGTTGGAGACTTTATACACACTGTTTACCGGCTCACTAAATGTATAATTTTTTTCTCTCTTCTTTAATAATTTTTTTCTTATTTCTATAGTAAAGCTTGCTAGAACTTTTTTACTTTGTAAACCTTTTAATGTTTTAAAACTTTGTGACTTGTAATAATGCTTAACTTAAACACATTGTACAAGTATATAAAAATATTTTCTCTTTTTATACCTTTATTCTATATGCTTTCTTCCACTTTAAAATTTCTTATTTTTAACTTTTTAAATATTTTTGTTAAAAACTAAGACACTAACACGCACATCAGCCTAGGCCTACACAGGGTCAGGATCATCAGCATCACTGTCTTCCACCTCCATGTCCTGTCCCACTGGAAGGTCTTTAGGGACAATGACACATCTCCTGTGATATCAATGCCTTCTTCTGGAATGTCTCCTGAAGGACCTGCCTGAGACTCTTTTACAGTTAACCTTTTTTTTTTTTTTAATAAGTAGAAGGAATACAGTTTAAAGTAATGATAAAAAATATAGAATAATAAATACATAAACCACTAGCATGGTCCTTTATTATCAAGTATCATGTGCTGTACATAATTATGTATGCTATACTTTTATATGACTGGTGCGCACAGTAGGTCTGTTTTCACCAGCATCACTGCAAACACATGAATAATGTGTTATGCTATGATGTTTGGACAACTATAATGCCACTAGCTGATGGTTTTTCAGCTGTTATAATCTCATGGGACTGCTGTGGTATATGTGGTACATTGTTGACTGAAATGGCATTATATAGCACATGACTATTGATTTATATGTGACCAATTTTTTAAAAAAGTCAGAAGAGGTTTTCAACAAAAACACAGCAGTATGACCCAAAATCATTAACACAAGAATAAAAGGGAAAAAAGTAATCTGGAAAGAAAATGTTAAGAATATTAAGCGGAAGGGAATAAAATGTGTATCTTTATACTGCTTTTTTGCTTGTTGCTAGGTAAGGAGAAGGAGCTTTTCCCCAAAATGGGGTTTATAATAAAATGAGATATTTCCGAAGTTTTTGCAGAGGTTTTAAACTTCAAACAAGAAAAGACTAGGAAATTGGTCTTTTGTTCTGCAGAGCATCAGACATAATTTTCAGATTGCAAAGAGAGGCTTGGAGGGAATGGATTGCCTATAATTTTGCATCAGTGATTAGGAAGAATTTTAGAGACTATCCAGAGAGAGATCAATTAAGATGAAGTGGGAGGTGCACAGTTTGTGAATGTCCCCATGTGATCATGAATTTTAGAATAGTTATTTCTAACATTGACTTAATTATAACTATAAATTATAACCATGAAAATAACAGAAATATGAAATATAAAATGTAGGCTTGTCATGAAATATTCAAGCCATTTAAGGATATACAGAGTAAAATATGCTCCCTTTCAACCTTCTCAACTATGTGCAATCCAAAGAGATTGCACCAACTCCCTAATTAATTCATCCTTCTAAAGCAGTGGTTCTCAACCTGTGGGTCACAACCCCTTTGTAACAATGAAAATACATCATGGTATGAGGAAGGTTGAGAACCACTGTTCTAATGCCTAAATAATATTCCTTACTATGGCTGTAACAATGAATTATATTGTAATTAATATTCTCAAATTGATGATATAGGTTGTGTTTAATTTTTTAATTATTAAAATTTTAATTGATTTAAAAAACGATGTCCTGTGAGCAATTCTGTAGTAGCCAGGTCTTGGAAAGGGAATTGCTAGACCAGAGAAGCAACATTTAAATGGTGACACTGGAAGATTGCCCAATGCAGTGTTCTGGGATCCTCCGATAGGTGGGGTGGGAGAATGTGTGCTTCTCACATCCCCAGAGTGGATGTTATCAATCTTTAAAAACGCTCTCCAGTGTGACTGGCCGATCTGGGCACCTCTTCGTATTTCACATTCCTTGACTAACAGTGAGGCTGAGCAGCTGCTGATATGTTCTTTAGGCAAGTGTGCTCCCTTGGCTATAAGTTGCTTTTTAAATATCCTTTGCTTATCTTTTCTGCTGGGTCCCTCATTTCTCTGACCCATATATGGAAATGCTCCCCTGCACCGTGAATCCCTTGCTTGCTGTATGTGCTGTGCTCATTTGGGGCTTGTATCTTCATGCACGTCTGGGAAGATGTGAGCTGCTGCTGTGGCCCTGGTTTGGGGTGATGGAGAGACAGCTCTTCCCAGAGAAGGCAGCCAAGTAAGGCATAAAAGATGAATGATGGAGAGAGGGTGCTGTCTTCAGTCTCCTCTGTGGGGGGAGCAGTCATGCACTGAAGAAAAAGCATGTGATTGCGGGGCACGGTGGCTCACGCCTGTAATCCCAGCACTGTGGGAAGCTGAGGCAGGAAGATTGCTTGAGCGAGAGTGAGACCCCAACTCATGAAAGAAATGGAAAAACCCAGCTGATGCTGCACTGAGCCCCCTCCAGTAGCTTCGGAGGCTGAGGCAGCAGGATGCCCACAGCCCAAATCTGAGGTTGCAGTGAACTACGAGGCCATTGCACTCTGCTCAGGGCATAGGGTAGAACTCTGTCTCATCAAAAACAAAGAAAGAAAAAAAGAAAAAGCACATGATTTGGAGACTAAAGGACTAGAGTTCATTTGTTGCCAGGTGTGTGACCATGAGCAAATTGACCTCTCCAAGGCTCTGTTTCTTCTATAAAATAAAGGACAGAATGATATACAGGATTGCTGTGTGGAATAAACAGGTCAATTCATGCCAAGGGCTTGCTTTGGGGCCTGGCGCTCTGCCAATGTTTAAGCAATGAACACTTTATGGTGTAAACCTAACGAAATCATACAGAGGATGCCTTCTGACAGTTTGAAAGGGCTCTGAACACACACGTTGGTGTTCGTGTGACACACATAACGTCCTGTAAGTCTGTGAAACATTCCAGAGCTCTCTTCAGAGTTTGGAAACTAGAATTCTCCCTGTCAGGTCACCTCCCACTTCTACTGACTAGCAAATGATTGGGGCTGGGAGCAAGGAGACCAGGGAGCAGTAGGGAGAGTAAGTGGCAGGGAGAGCCTGAGAGCTACTGTGAAGCTGTGAAGGGGGAAGGCAGACTTTTTCCTAGCTATGGCTGGAACAAAGGAACTTTTGATGCTGGAAAACTTCATAGATGGAAAATTTTTACCTTGTAACTCATATATAGATTCTTATGACCCGTCGACAGGGGAGGTGTATTGCAGAGTGCCAGACAGTGGAAAAGAAGAGGTGAGTACATTCGCTCAAAGAAGACTAAACTGTATTTAAATCATTGGCAAATTATGGGGGACTTGATGTTCTGTAAGCAGAAGGGGTTGGGAGAAGGTGTAGAATTGCTGACCATTAGCAGAAGGAAGATTCTGGTTAAGAAGTTTACCCTCAGGCAGGGCACATGTGTGATAGAACAAATGTCAGGTTACCACATTCAAAAGCAAGCAATTATTTTAGCCAGTCTAACCCACAGCCATGTGTGCAGTCTTTTTAGTAATTCTTGGATATTCTCTAATAAGGGTCTAGTACAAAATATTATTTGTAAAATCTGTCACTGTTAAGCACTCTCTTTTCTCTACCAAGAGAAAAATTTACCACTATATTCATGAATTTCTAAAAAATATATCACTTTACACACACACAAAATGAAAGAACGAAAACTCTGATCTTTAGGTTGTCTTGCAAGAATTCCTGTCTTCTAAATACCTAATAAAATAAAATCGATCATTTGAATGATGGACCTCAGTCAAATTCCTCTGTATTTTTGGAGTTAGATTTAATGCCATTCTTTTTCTTATCAAAATACTTAATTGCACATGCATCACATTTTTTTTTTTTAGTGATATAGAGTTAATTTTACCTGGGGAATTTTGTAAAATGTTTGAGACATATTTGATTAGTTCTCGGGTATTGCACTAAGAATGTAAATATATCTGGGGTGATAAATTTGGCCGATGTATGTGTAGTCATCTAATGCCTACTGGATTATAATTTATTCTCCCTAAGGCACAAAGAATTAAAATATTTATAATCGTACCCTTCCTATATGAATATATAGCATCTGTAAAGTTTTTTTTTTTTTAAAGAACTCAGGTATTTTTCTTTTTTGTTAATATTTCAAATCTATCTCTCATTAAAAAAATCTTTAGACTTAAAGATTAATGTTTGCAAATGTTAGCTAATTTGTTGGTTAAACTGTAACCTGCAATTTTGTTTGCTTCGAGTGACCTATGTTAGATGTGGGGAATGCAGCCTGGCGTTTTCCTTGTCCCAGAGTGTTGGGTAAAGTTAAAACTGACAAGTCTGCCAAATGCAGTTGAAATATGTCCTGCAGCTAATATCTCATGCCTTTTTAGAAAACAGAATGAGGTATGGATGTATCTATTAGTATAATAATAGATAGTAACCACTAGTAGAATCATAGATATTTTCGATTTTTCAGCAATCTAACTTACAAATGTCCCATCTGATCCCATAAGTCCCATTATTTTTTCTGGCTTGAAAAATACAGCCACCATACAAATTACATGCTCAATTTCCCAAAAAGTCGCTCCCAGAAAATGTTGCTGGTGCTGCCAACAGTGGCTCCCATTTATTTAGCTTTTGCTATGTGATTTGCATTCACTAAGGCATTTTTTTCAATAAAAAATTATTGATATACAGTAGAACCTCTGTAAGTTAGCCACCCGAAGGACTGAACTAACTGGCCATATATGGAGGTGATCAACATAAGGAACTAGTATTGTACACGTGTACTGATATGTACATGTGGTGCATGTCCAGCCAACCGGACCTTAGGTCAAGGTAAGAAGATGGTCAACAGTGGAGGTTCTGCTGTACATAATGAATTATTGCTGATTATTGTCATTCTTCTGTGCTAATTGAACGCGAGGACTTATTCCCTCTAACTATTTTTGTACCCATTAACCAACTGCTCCTTCTTCTCCCCTCCACTTTCCCTCCCACTGTCCTGCTCTCAATCCTCATGAGATCAACTTTTTTAGCTCCCACACGAGTGAGATCATGGAGCGTTGGTCTTTCTGGGCCTGGCTCATTTCGCTTAACATGGGGTCCTAGAGAGTTCTCCAGTTCTATCCATGTTCTGCAAATGACGGATTTCATTCGTCATTTGGCTGAGCAATATTCCATTGTGTATATATCTCACATTTGCTTTATTCACTCGTCTGTTGCTGGACATTAAGTTGACTCCATATCTTGAGTATTTTGAATGATGTATGAAAACCCAGCGGTGCAGGCATCTCTTTGATATATTGATTTCCTTTTCTTTGGGTAAATGCCCAGGGGTGGGATTGCTGAATCATGTGGTAGACTTATTTGTAGTTTACTGGGGAGCCTCCTTTCTGCTTCCCACAGTGGCTGTACTAATCTACCTTCTCACCAGCAGTCTAAGGGTGCTCCTCTTTCTCTGCATCCCTGTACCGGCATGTGTTATTTTTTATTTTTTTGATAATAGCCATTCTAGCTGGGCTGAGATATCTATCTTATTGTGATTTGGATTTGCATTGCCCTCATGATGAGTGCTGTTGACCATTTTTTCTGTGTTTATTTGTATGTCTTCTTTTGTGAAATGTCTATCCAGATTATTATTGGCCCATTTTTTACTTGGATTTGTTTTGTTTTGTTGGCTATTGAGTTATTTGAGTTCTGGTTATCCATCCCTTGTCAGATGGATGGTTTTCAAATATTTTTCTCCCATTCTGTGGGTTGTCTCTTCAATTTGTTGATTGTTTCCTTTGTTTGAAGAAGATTTTTAGCTTGATAGGATCCTGTTTTCTGTTTTTGCTTTTGTTGCCTGTGCTTTTGGGATCTTACCCCAAAACTCTTTACTCAGTAAAGGTCATAAAAAGTCAGTAGAACTGTTAACTTCAATGTCCTGAAGTGTTTTCCCTATGTTTTCTTTTAGTAGTTGCATAGTTTTAAGTCTTACCTTTAGGACTTTAGTCCCTTTTGGTTTAATTTTTGTATACGGTGAGAGTCGAGGGTTTACTTTCATTCTTCTGCACATGGATGTCTGGTTTCCCCAGCACCATTTACTGCAGGCACTGCCCTTTCCCCAGTGAATGTTTTTGGCATCTTTGTTGAAAATGAGTTGCCTTTAGACACATAAACGTATTTCTGGATTTTCTATTATGTTCCTTGCACTACATGTCTGTTTTATGCCAGGATTATGCTAGTTTGCTTACTATAGTTTTGTAGTATATTTGGAAGTCTGGCAGCATTCATTCACTAAGCTCTTTAATATGATTGTCTCAAATAGTGAATTATGACAAGTTAGAAATTAGACTCTATCATCATCCTTATTTTATAGGGGACAGTGTGCTAATGCTCTCATCTCTGATGCTTAGCTCCATGGACACACACGTGTTTGTGGGGCACATTTCCATTATAACATTAGTCATAAGCCCAGGCTGGAGTCAGACTGCCTGCTTCAAAGACCACTTGGTATCTTTGACCTTAACTTAGAGTTGAACATCTGTGTGCCTCAGTCTCCTTATCTGTAAAATGGGGGTAATAATACTTGATAATGTTGTTCTGACAATTAAACAGACAAATAACACAAAGCCTTTAGAATCTGGCATGTAATGATATGATAGTATATCTGGAAAACACAAGGGATTCTACTACAAAACTCCTAGAAGTGATCAAGGAATACAGCAGCGTCTCAGGTTACAAAATCAACACTCATAAATCTGTAGCCTTTATATATAC